ATTTTTCTACCCCCTCCAGATTGTAAAACAAGTTTAAGAGGTGAGATAAAGAATCAGAGGTTATAAGATGATTGTTGATTAGGGCTGAGGGTCTCTTTGGGTTCAAGTTCCTTCAGACACCTAGAGGATGAGAAAAATAACTGTCTTTCATCTAAAGTCTAGAGAAGAGATCTCAATGGGATCACTTAAAGAACTCAATTTGTCCCCTAGAGGTTGATGGACGCAGAGGACCAGTGTCTGTTTAATGCTTGAATTTTAATGTAGCAATATGTGTCTGGTTTGTTGCTCTGACAAAGGTAGTCAGAGCATTTTCTGCATTATGGAGAGTGCTTCAACATTCCCAGTGTCTGTCAAAATAATAATGCTGGAGCATTTACTGTAGATGCATGTGGCACAGACTCAAGAATAAACAGAAGATAGCTAGGCCTAATAGTGAATGCTCAGCGGATAAAAGAGGAGTGCTAGGTGACCCATCAAAATGGAAGTGCATCTAGCTTCATCAAGGCAACTGCAGGTGAAAGATTCCCCAGGAATGGGGGGCGTCCCCCAAATCACAGTCAGCTTTTAATACCTACAAAATCTAAATGTTAAATTATCGTTTCTGTTAGTCAATTAAGAATTTTCAGATGAGTGTGGTGGCTCACACTTGTAATCCCAGAGCTCTGGGAGGGTGAGGCAGGCAGATGGCTTGAGCCCAGAAGTTTCAGACTAGCCTGGGCAACTTAGTGAAACCCTGTCTCTACAAAAAATTACAAAAATTAGCTGGGAATGGTGATGTGGGCCTGTAGTTCCAGCTACTCTGGAGGCTGAGGAGGAAGGATCACCAGAGCTGGGGAGGTCAAGGCCACTGTATGTCGTGATGGCACCACTGCACCCCAGCCTAGGTGACAGAGTAAGACCCTGTCTCGGTAGTGAAAAAATTCTCTGCACCTTTCTCTCCTTTCTCCCCTAAAAATACATTGTGCTGTTACACCATATACCCATTTGTTCTTTGATCATTTTCTCTGGTCTTGTCCTGCCTTGTTCTATACTGCAGGGACCTTCATTTCCCAAGATAGATTGACCATGATTATCACTATTATTTTGGCTCTGATATGGACCTATTGTCTTCCTGTAGTCATATGTGGTGGTGGGGAGGGGGGGTACAGGGGTAAAACATACATTAAAAAGCATAAAAATATATTAATGGAAGGAGCCATAAACCATTCAGCATACATGAACCCAGGTACATGATAGCCAAAGGAATTTAGCTGAAAAATCCAACTCAGTGTGATTCGCTTTTTCTTTAGAAATTCCACAAGGTGAGTTAGTAAGAAAAGGGCTGAAAGTCTTCTCCCAGCTCCCATACTCATGGTAGAAATTAACAGTGGGATTTTTAACATTAATAACTTTTTTTTTTTTTTTTGGACAGAGTCTCTCTGTCACCCAGGCTGGAGTGCAGTGGCGTGATCTCGGCTCACGGCAACCTTTGCCTCCTGGGTTCAAGCAATTCTCTGCCTCAGCCTCCCAAGTACCCACCATGCCAGGGTAATTTTTGTATTTTTAGTAGAGGCTGGGTTTCACCATCTTGGCCAGGCTGGTCTTGAACTCCTGACTTCGTGATACATCTGCCTCAGCCTCTCAAAGTGCTGGGATTACAGGCGTGAGCCACTGTGCCTGGCCAAATTAATAACTTTCAATAGCTAAATAGTTACCATTTAAGTCCTTGCTTGTTTTTAAAAATAGAAGTTTAAAATATATTATCAAAAGTGACTACACAAAATAAACAGGCAATAGGGATAATGCACGGTGATGGAGATTTATCAACCAATTTGTGGTCATCTGTTGCCTAATGTAGTAGACAAAGTTTGTCACACAATTAGCATTGATGGAAGAGCAACCAAAATACCTAAGAGAGAACTAGAGACTACTAGCAAAGTAACTTAACAGTCTGGATCAACTCTCCAAAATATTTACTGTTTCTCTGCAAGCTAACCTCACGATAGCATAGAATTCTATTTTGATTAATCTATGGTGTTTTTGAGTGTGTATATTAATAGAGCATTTTTAGTGGTTGCTGTAGATACCTCATTATATTTGCAGAATTTACCACAGTTTACTTGAATTGACTGATATTTTGCCAGTGTGAGCTATGTATGAAAACATTACCTCTTTTCGCCCAACTTTACACTCCCCCGTTAATATAATTGTCTTAAATATTTACCCTTTCTACATTGAGAACCACACCAGACTATGTCATAACTTTTGCTTCCACAAACCTGTAGACTCTCTGAGAAGGGCTTAGGGCCGCTTCTCAGATGCTAATCCTAGGCATGAAAAACCAGGGATTCTCCCCAAATGGGATGAACTGAGAAGAATGTTTAGGACATTCAGAGGCAAGGTGAATCAATGACTGAGACAGAATTTTTATCTCCATGTGCAGTTGGCACTGGGGTCAGATTTATCAATAACTTTATTTAGAAAAAATCATTGCATTCCTCCTATTGCAAATTTATATTTCATTCAGAATTAAGTTCACAATGCTAAAATTACATTTCAAAAATATTGAATTGATTTTACAGAACTATTAGTTGGCATTAGTAGTGTGAGTGCACAGCTCACATTGCACACTTATCCCCAGCTATTTCTCTGCCCCACAGCAGGACCTCCACTAATTGTTTTCTATAATGTGATATTTGCCACCCTCCCAGACAGTGGTCTGCAAACTTAGCTGCTCGCTAGAATCACCTGAAGAACTTAAAAATCCTGATGCCCTAGCCTCAACCCCAGAGATTCAAATTTAATTAGACACAATAATTTCTAAAATTCCCTAAACTCATCTAATGTACTGCCAAGGTACCTTACTGGCATGTGCTCTGACCCGAGGCAATCAGAACTCTCAGGGAATCTGACTTAGGACAAGACAGAGAGAAGGATTTTTTCATTCCTGTGGGCTGGGTCTTATGCTCTTGAATAATAGAAGAGTCAAGTGATGAACAAGAGAAGCAAGTGTGTCTGCAATGAGAGGAGAAAGAAGCAGAGTCACTGAAAGGAGCAGAAAAGTGAAGGCAGAAGAAGGTCCTTGTTCCCTGGTCCCTGGGGTCTGACTGCGTTGTTGTCTTCGGGTCCATGTGTACCTTTCTTTCTTTATAACACATTTTATTAGCTCTTTAATCTTGCAGAAGTTTTTTTTTTTATATCCCACCAGAAGAGTCCTAACTGATCAAATTGTTCAGCTCAAAATCTTCAGCTCATTAATCTCTGAATGTAAATGATGCTACCACTACAAATGTCACCCATTACCTAAATCACTCAGTTGGCATTTAGGAACTTATGCTTTGTATTCTTTGAATTGTTTTAAGCAGTTACTTACTCTATATACTGATGATGAGAGATAAAGATTAAATACTGTATATCTATATGCAATAGCCTAAACATATCAGGAACTTTTGTTTGTTGATAACTTTTTTTGTTGTTCTGTAATTAAACAGGCTACTTACCTTAAAATAACATTTATGATCATTGGTAAGAATTATGTGATTGAAATAAATGAGCAAACATGGCAAAAATAATAGGATGTTTTACATAGGGGAAAATATATCTTTCCTTTTTCTCAATTCCTAACCAATTGCCTGACTCCCAAATCACCTCTGTTCTTTAGAAGGTTAAAGTATAAAATGGATCACTAGATTGTTACCACCTAGTGGAAAGTTGTCTATGGCAATACCCTTTTAATATCAGTTCTATTTCCACTACAGAGAAAAAAAAAAAAAAAAATGCTCAATGAATCTTATTTTCCTGAAGGTAAGATTCCTTATTCCAACAAAATTATAAGCTTTCAACTTCAGTCATTACAATGTCTAGTGCAATGCTTTGTGTAGAATGGAGGCTTTATTCATGAATCTGCTTAAATGAATAAATGACGATAAGTTTGGCTTTTATATACGAGTCATATAGCAAAGATAAATGTTACCACCAAGCCTGCACACAAGGAAAAGATATTTTTGCAAGGCAATTTACAACAGCTTTTTGATTCTATTAACATCTGCATTTCCCATATTTTAAAAATGCAATCCATATAACTTATATTTATAAGATACTCTCTTCTAGTAATAAATAGGTTTGTGAACATTATAAATTTGCTAGCCTCAATGAAAACACGTGGGGGAAAACCTAAATTCTCACTGAGTTTCACTAACATCCGGAGACTGCATGATGTTCTATTGCTCGTCTTACTGACATAAACATATGATGACAGAAGACAAAAATATGTTTATAATGGTCACATAAACATTTTCGGTTTTATTAAGGAAAAAAATCATAATTTAATATATTGTTTCAAGAATTCATTAAAATCATACCTTTAGACAGAAAAATTCATTTTCCATTCTCTTGGGAATGTTTAGAATATTCACAGAGATAGCAACCCGAGATTTCCTCAAACACTGCACTTTTGATTGATTAAAATGTTTATATATTATTAAAGGATATTGTAATTTCAAACTTTCTAAAGGCATTTTTTTCCAATGATAGAGATCAAAAGCAAAACACTGAGTTAGAGTTACAAATCTCTACTCATAGATATGGGAATAATATATTTTGTTCCATCAACGTGTCTACTTTACATTATTCAGCACAAAGCTTTCTGAAATAAGAATCATGGGAATATAAGAATATAAAGAAAAAAGGTACAAATAACAGCTTCATAAACTGAGAAATGTACATAAATAAATCATGTATATGTGGGCAGTTTGCTTAGCTGGCAAGAAACAAAATATTGAAAATCTGCTTGTTAAACAATAACTACAGAGTGTGCTTTTATGATGTTTTTCACCACAGTAATTCATATTAGAGATAGAAGCAGTTGCATGTTAAATAAAATCATTGAGCATTGTTCCCCTTGCATTGCAAAGAGCTGACTTATGTTGTTTTTAGATGCCTCCCATTAGAAAGTAAATATTCCTTCAATGCTATGCATTTCACAAAATTTAATAAAGGCAAACTGTAAATAAAGTCACAGGGAGATTTCAGACAGTTTTATTAGGAGATTGTTGAAAAGAAAAAGAAAATTAAATACAATAACAGTAAACGTGGTTCTCACATTGAAACCAGGCTCAAATAACTAGGCTACCATAGAAAAATTTCCAATTCTTGCATTATGATGTAAAAACAGATTTTTGTACAGATTTTGTACAACAAAATTCGTAATAACCTTTTATCATTTTTAGAAAACTTTAAATATATAGATAAAAATAGACAATTTTCATAGGTCCTACATGAAGATGAGTATGTTCTGTTCCAAGGGCTTGCATAGAGCGCAAATGTGGTTATAATATAGAACAACTAGACATTAATATTTTTAGGATTACAAAAGCATGGAAACCATAAAATGGGCACATTTTACTTGTTTATGCCAAAACACAAATTTCCAAACCAACCTGTATAACTAAAATAGGGAAAAAATTAAGTTACAGACTTACAATAACATTTCATGAATTGTCATATTTACAACATGTTAGTAAGAGTCTCTCTTAACATACAGCTGATAGCTTTTTTCTTTAATCCTTGCTAAAATTTCCTTTTATTTCAAATCAAACACTAAAGCATTCTCAAAGGTCTTCAAAGTATGTATTTTAAAACTATTTAATCCACGTAACAGGTGACTCTATGCCAGGAGCAGAGCAATGGCTGATTCTACTACATATGTAAGTTGTAGGCTTTTTAAAAAATCTTTCAAAAAATGTATGATGCAAAAGCTTGACACAAGTCCATTCAATTTTAAGTGTTGTAACCCTTTAAAGACTGCATATAGGGGAAAAAAATACATAGAACTAGGAAAATAATCTCTTGTGCTCAAACAACAAAAGGTGGTTATGGAAGAACTATGCTTAGAAAACCAAGTTTCTACAAAGCATTTACTAACAACACTTTAAATAAAAATAATGCTCCCTTTGTAAGCAAGCTAAAATAGGAACTATACATATAACTTTTTTATGGTATCAAAAAAATGAACTTAGCTGGTTAATAGTGAGCTACACAAAAGAATTATGTTCCAGTATTGCAAGGAAGACCTAAAAGGTATAGAAGCGTAATGCTAGAAGATCTATAATGTTAATTTTTTCTTAATCAAGTAATTAATACCCAATCAGAACTATATTTAAACATTTTAAGCTAGTTTTCTTAGACATTGAAGATTTTGCTGTTTTGTGGTAATAAATAATGTTACGATCATACAATTATAAGATGACAGAAAAATCATAAAATGTATAGTGACTGTACTGATTCATATCAGTCTTTAAAGGTGTAATACCAGATATGCAAAAAACAAAGAGAAGGTAACTTTAGCATGTGATAAGCACTGTTTGCCGCTTTACTTCCAGTTATCTGCACAAAAGTGAAAACACATACTGTAACTTTCAAAAAGACAGTGAAAATAACACACAGCCACCCTTCCCTCTGACAAGGGTGGGAAGCACAGCACATTTTAACTGTATCACTCAGCGCTACATGGTATTGGACTGGTACATCAAGGTTTGTTAGATTTTGTTTTCAGCAACATTAACATAATATGACATTAACATATAAAAATATTTCTGGTGTTTTGATTTGCTGTTCAGCCACAATCCATTCCCAATAGTGCAGCTTGGGGCACTAGCTAGGGTTCAATATACAAATAAAAGTGGCTGACACAGAGTTCTGATGCCACCAGATGCTTAAGATCTCATTCATTAATACTGTGACTCCAGACAAATATTTACATGCCTGCATGCGTTAAAACCAGAAAGCCGTCTTTCTGACCGACAGGGTGACAAAACATATTTTCTAAAATTTTCATTTTCCTAAACTCTAGTATACTACTGCATACATAATACCTTCCTTGTGTGTTTTATGTTTATATACTGTACATATGACCAACAGTTTGAATAAGAAGCAACATTATTATCTTTAAGTCTATCTACCACTACCAGTTTGGAATGAAAACATGTTACATTTATATATATTTTTTATTTTTAAGAAAAGACCTTCAGCGAAACCTTTTGGCTTATATTCAATGCTTCTTTTCAGATACGCAAAATGTTATTTCATTGGGTTGTGGTCAACATCCGTTTGTTGGTCTTTTGGAAAGTATGTGAAAAAAAAATTCTTCAGGAGAAAACCCACAATTAGAGTTTGAAATTGAATGTAACAGAATATCACTCTTGTATTTATTTTTCAAGAATCTTCTATGCCCCCTACAAGTTCTTTCCAAGTGTTCTTGCTGGTTTCCGGAGGACATAATTCTGTAAGTCTGGGTAACCACTGCTACAAGAGTCTTTTGATGTGCTCAGATACAGAATTTTCAGAAGAGGAAAATGGTTCATTCCATTAGGAAAAAAAAAAAAAAAAAAACAAAGCTAGGTCTTTTTCAGACCTGCCTTTAACTCTGTATACAATTGTCCAGCAGCAAGTTGCAGTAATTAACTGTAAGAACTTTGATACTTGTACATTTACAAACATTCTCAGGTCTCTGGTATGAACCACAGGTGAAAATCAATGGAGGAAACTTTTTTTTTTTTTTTGTAGAATACTTAAACTTTTAAAGAACATTAATACACAAAATTCAGGAAGTTCCCTTAAAAGGACTTTATTTTTTCTGAACTTTCCCATGACGAATGTCTGACTGCAAAGTTCTTTTCTATAACATGGATTTCTTCAACAGGAAAGATTCAGTACATGACAGTAGTTTTCAAATACAGTCTTCCATCTAGAAATGAACAGTAAAAAATTAATTAATGACGTGGCATTTGGGGTACAAATGTGCATGTAAAAATGATGTAACTTGACATAAAATTTGAGGTTTTTATTAGATCTTTACTTGGTTAAGAAGTAACATTTTTTCACATCTTCTCAAAGTTAATTTCATAATTACACTGAATTTATGTGGCTGAAAAGAATACAGCATTTCTACTTCTCATAAATATATATTTGTTATTTTGATATCAGTTCCAGAGCACTCAGAAAATAGCTAAGAGTATGTGTGTGTATTTTGCTGATATGCAAAGTTAGTTGATTTCTGTTGAATAACAATTACTTCCTTCAAGCTTGCAGAACCAAATTTTCTCTGAATGCACTCAGGTGTATCTCCATCAGGAAAGACTGAACTCCCATCTTACTCTTTAGCAGTGTTGTTAAATATACCATGTAATGTAACTATTGTACACATTCATTGCTATTTATATGAAAGCCACCTAGGTTATTTCATCACTGTCAATGAACTATAGCCTTTACCCCTTGAAGTGAGATTCATGCAACAATTAAATATTAAAATGTAAACACTGTATGTTACTCAACTTTTACTAATGAGCAAACACACAGTTGTGTGAAAAAGAAAAGGAAATCAAATATTGGAGACATCAAATAAATCCATTTGAATGAAGCACAAATAAGAAATAGGAAATTAAAAATCCAAACCAAAAATAAAACAATACCAAACATAAGCCTATTTCTCAAATGTTTAATACACTCTAATCTGTCCACTTCCTGGTGTGGCCTAAACTTTGTATATATTTGTCTAATGTAGGTCTGAAATTCAAATTTTAATATATACAGTAGAAGGAAGAACAATCAGAAAAGGAAAGTTTTCTGAGCTTTGAAAAGTGCATATTGCCATGTAAATGTTTGCAAAATGTCTGGTAACTTGAAGAATTAAAAATGTAAGAAAACATAAATAACCTATAGTACATTCAGGAAATAAAAAAGATAGTCTAAATATTTGTGGACCTCACCTTCAACTTTCATACAACTACTTTTATGCAATCTAGAGTGGATATAGTAAGTTGCAAGGAACTTACATAGAAATATTGGTAAGCCCAAATTACATGTTCCTCTCATTTTTTTCTATTTTGTATGATCCTTCCTTTTTAAAAAATATTTTTAATTTTTGTGGGTAAATATTAGGTACATGTATTATATTTATGGGGTGTATTACATATTTAGATACAGGCATACATGCATAATAATCACATCTGGGCAAATGGGGTGTCTGTCACCTCAAACATTTATTCACTATGTTACAAACAATCCACTCTCTTTCAGTTATTTTAAAATGTGCAATCAAATTACTGTTAACTATAGTCTCTTGGTTGTGCTATCAAATGTTAGATTTTATTCATTCATCCTATTTTTTTGAACCCATTAACCATCCCTGCTCCCTCCCCATTCTCCCCACTAATCTTCCCAGTCTCTGGCAACCATCATTCTACACTCTATCTCCACAAATTTAATGGTTTTAATTTTTAGCTCCCACAAATAAAGTGCGAACATACAAAGTTTATCTTTCCGTGCCTGGCTTATTTCACTTAGCATAATGACCTCCAGTTCCATCCATGTTGCTGTAAATGACAGGGTCTCATTCTTTTTATGGCTGAGTAGTACTCCATTGTGTATGGGTACACCATTTTCTTTATTCATTCATCTGCTGATGGACAATTAGGTTGCTTCCAAATCTTGGCTATTGTGAATAATGCTGCAATAAACATCTTAATAAACATTTGTAGCATTGAAATACTACCTCCAAGATGTCATGAAACTCTGTTTTGCTCAATGATATATCCCAAGCATAGAGTGTACAGTAGTCCTCCCTTATCTGTGCTGTATATGTCCAGACTGCCAGTGGATGCCTGAAACCATGGATAATAGTACCAAACCCTATGTATACTATGTTTTTTTATTTGTATACATACATACCTACAATAAAGCTTAATTTATAAATTAGGCACAGTAAGAGATTAACAATTGTAGATAATAATGATGCAATTATAGATACATGGATAATAATAGAAGAATTATAACAATATACTCTAAGTTATATAAATGCAGCCTTTCTCTCTCTCAAAATACTGTAACATTTTCAAACTATTGTTGACAATGGGTAACTGAGACTATGGAAAGATAAACTATAGATGAGGAGGGACTACTGTAAGTTTAGTAAATATGTGTTAAATGAATGCATTAATCAGATATAGGTCTTTAGAAAGATATAGATTTCATATGGTTTACATAAAGTAGATATTGAATTATACATATTATATTACATATAATAATATATAATATGTTTATAAAGTATTTTATAAACATTTATAAAATTTATAAATGTTTATAAAGTATTTTATTTATAAAGTATTTTATTTTATATATATTATTTTATTATATATTATTACATATAATAATATATAATACTGTAAATGTAAATATAAAAACGTATTATATCATGAACATCCCAAATCCACAATTTTCCCTCCCAGAGGCAGGGATGTCCATGAGAGTAGCCTCAGACTGGCTAAATGCTAATAAGTTGTGTCAAATATCAGTTGCCTCTCTTAAAATTAATCTAGTTCAACTTTAAGAATAATAATAATGATTACTTGAAAGTTGTT